ACACTATGCAAATTGTTAAGTCAGGTAGATGAGATAATGGAACAATATCAGGGTTCCTGCAGGTTGCTGGTCAAATTTAAGACTTTTATGAATGAAATTTAAAACCTAAATCACGACTTAAAAAAGAAACGCACAAAGGAAATGCAGTCACAAAATTACTTGCAGTTGCATCAATGTATTCAAATTAGGGTAGAGTGATTACTACAAAATTGACAGGGTGATATCATCAATGAAACACCGGGATGGACGATGATGTCGAAAAGCTACTTCATAAACAAGCTGGCATGCGGTGCATCTGCTGACATGAAAAATGGATCACTGGTGGGGGTGGGGGTGGGGGGGAGAAGGGGGGAAAAAAAGAAGAAGAAAAAAGAGTTGTGTGTATTTTCGGTGACTTTATAAAACATAACCTACTGCTGATTGATAAACTCAGGGAGGCAGGCAAGGGAAGCCGGTGTGTTTGCAGTGAGAGACCAGAGGTGTGCGTGTGCGTGTGTGTCCAGGGAGAAGTCGAGGCAGGCGCAAAGCAGGTACATTTACAAATAATAGAAATATAATAATGTCCATGGGGATTAAAACATGCTTTCACAGGGCGGTATAATGTAAAAAAATTAAGATGGTATTTTTGTGGGGGATTGGGGGTCCTCCCCCACGAAAATTATGTTTTGACTGAGAGACCATTTAAAGGCCTCTGCAGGTGTTTTGAGTTAATTAGTTGATTAGAGTGTGGCACCAGGTTTCTTCAATATTGAACCTTTTCAAAATATTCAAATTTTCTGAGATACTGATTTTGGGGTTTTCATTAGTTGTCAGTTATAATCATCAAAATTAAAAGGAATGAACACTTGAAATATATCAGTCTGTGTGGAATGAATGTATACATTATACAAGTTTCACTTTTTGAATGGAATTACTGAAATAAATCAACTTTTTGATGATATTCTAATTATATGACCAGCACCTGTATATTGAGATGACATGATTTGCAATAAATAAACATATATTGAAGTCTGCATATTAACTGCCTGGTTGTTTTAAAATTATTTATAGGATTAGAATTTAATATTTTAAATACAGCTAAATGCTGTTTCTAGAGCAGCAACATTAATGTTTACATGATAATACTGAGTGACATTTAGAAAGAATAAAAACTCAATCTGTATCATTCCTCCTCTTCCTCCTCCCCTCTGCTGTTATTCACTGCCTGCAGGTAACGTTACCTGGTAGAAGGAGGAGCGGCTGGTTGTCTCAGCCAGCAGCTGAGTTTACAACAATGTGCCAAATTTTAAGGCTGCAGACAGACATCTTTCTATTTAGCTTGTTTTTAACATTTGGGTAAATGCCAAGTTAATGTTAGCTGTGTTAGTAAATAACATAGCCTACAAGAAGGGAGACTGAGGACATATTATTTACCTTACAGACAGGTGTATTGATAAAGCATTGTCTTTTAACTGGAGAAGGTTTTATTGCACATACTTACAGTAGGCCTAACGAGCGTAAGTGTCGACTCGAGTAGTTTGGAGCGAACTTAACCGTCTCCGCTGTGACCGCGCTGCATCTCGCTCTGCTGGCCGCAGGGTGTGTGTGTGTATGTGTATGTGTGTGCAGAATGTTTGTGTTCCCCACACAATCGCCTCCTGCCATAGTTACACAAGCACACCTAACCTATGCCATATTTTCCCTGCACACTCTCCTCTATAATACAATGCATTCACCAATCTTTATTTGTAAATAGAACATGATGTTCAGTCTTACTGTTTGTCAAAGAATTTTTAACGTAAAGATAATTTAAATCCGAGAGTGATCAAATCAAAGATGCTTCAGAATGAAAAGTCTTTCCTACAGAAGTAGTTTCCACCACTGCTTATTGAGGTGCGTGCATGCATTTTAAAGCCTCCTGTCCACCAGCTAGACTGCCTAATTTGCCTGTAGCCTTGCACTTCACCAGGAGAGGTCACTATAACTGAAGCTTCGAGTAATGAACCCATTTTCGAAACAATTGGCTCAAGTGGTTTAATGCTTCACAAAAGCTTAATTTGCCCACCGTTATAGATATATATTATATATTTGACATGCCACGTGACTGATGACGTCCGAGTTTTGTGCGTCACGAAATTTTGGCGCCAAATGATACTTTTGAAGGGGGCGTGGCTTGAGCGCGACTGGAGGACCTTGGATCCAGGTTGAATTCCGGACAAAACATAGCAAAACATATATTTTTAAACGGAAACGGTGGTACCTTCCCAGATAGCAAACATTATTGAAACTATGTTGAATCAGCATTCTGCTCTCAACGCTAATTTAATTGAATCAACATTAGACTCTGATGTTGATTTATTATCATTTTGCACCATTTTTTAATATTGAAACAATGTTGAAATCATAGCTAACTAACAATCAACGTGACTTCAATGGTATTTCAACCAATATAACCACTGAAACAACGTTGAAACTATGTTGAATCAACATTCTGCTGTCAACGCTAATTTCATGTTGATTCATCATCATTTTGCACCCTTTTTTAATATTCAAACAACGTTGAAATCATAGCTAACTAAAAATCAACGTGACTTCAGTGTTATTTCAGCCAATATTACTATTGAAACAACGCTGAAATGATAGCCTAACTAACAATCAACTTGACTTCAATGATATTTCAACCAATATTACTATTGAAACAACGCTGAAATGATAGCCTAACTAACAATCAACTTGACTTCAATGATATTTCAACCAATATTACTATTGAAATGTTGAAACTATGTTGAATCAGCATTCTGCTCTCAACGCTAATTTCATTGAATCAACATCAGACTGTAATGTTGATTCATCATCATTTTGCACCCTTTTTTAATACTGAAACAATGTCATAGCTAACTAAAAATCAACATGACTTCAATGTTATTTCAACCAATAGTAAACCACAGAAAAGAGACTATAATATATTAAAATGTATAAATGACAACAGACAATTTAATCAGTTAAAAAATACAAGTTTATTTATGGAATAAAAAAAATTATTCACTACTCCTGTTCTGCTCTGTCCACCCATCAGGTCTGGAGCATAGGAAGCCATTTTTGTGTTGCCTGGGCAAAGTCAAAGACTTCTGTCCCCATTGGTTCAGTCAGTTCATCTATAACAAAAAACATACAAACAAAACAACTTTCAGCAGTGAAAAGGATGTGAAGATGAACAATGTCAGTCAGGCTGAATTGGCGCTATATTATATATATGACAGTTAACTTACTTGAATTCACTAATGTTACCAGTTTATTGTAGATGTAGACTGCCTGGCTGTGGTGGAATCAATTGACGTTTATAGTTTAACATTATTTAAATTGTTAAACATTAAATGCAGTCATAGATTGAATCTGGAGACTGAAAGTTGTAGAAGACTGACAGATGTATCAAGTTAGCTGGCTTATTTAAAGTTAAATGACAGGGGCATTAGCTAGGATCAGTTACGAGCATGAGAAAGGTGTGCATATATTTCGCAAAGCAGTCGAAATCTGAGCAAAGATAAAATACAGTTCATAACATAATTTACAGTCCTGTACAGGATATTATCTTCTGGTGATAACGTTAGCATTTATACTAGCGAAGTAATTTATCCGAATACGATAGAGCTTGGATATTGTGCTATTTGTCAGTATAAAATGGTATTGAAACACTTGTATATATTCTATGACTGCATATAATGTTAGACAATGTCAATAAACGATAAATGTCTACAAATTTGGTACAATTAAACATTAGATAAATAAATATGTGCTTACCTGATGTGGACTTGTGAGATGTGTGGGGTTCAGGAACGTTGATTCACCAAGCGATGGTCTCCCGGTCAATAATGCTGCATTGACTTTTCAATCATACAGTATTTCCCGGTATAACTATAAACTAACTATAAATCCATGGCTTTTCAATATCACGTCATTTCCCGGTCAACAATAAACAGATGATTTTTCAATCATCTTTCCTGGTCAACTATAATTCAATGACTTTTCAATCCTACTTCCCGGTCAACTATAATTCAATCATTTGTCATTCGTCGTTTCCCGGTCATCTATAATTCAATGACTTTTCAATCATGTTTCCCGGTCAACAATAATTCAATGACTTTTCAAACCTGTTTCCCGGTCAACTATAATTCAATGAATTTTCAATCATGTTTCCCAGTCAACTATAAATCAATTGCTTTTCAATATCACATAATTTCCCGGTCAACTATAAATAGATGACTTTTCAATCATGTTTCCCGGTCAACTATAATTCAATGACTTTTCAATCATATTTCCCGGTCAACAATAATTCAATGACTTTTCAATCATGTTACCCAGTCAACTACAAATCAATGCTTAATCAAGTATAATCGGGGCAACTATAAATCAATATTATTCCAATGTCACGCTCATACATGGTCGTTTTTCATCAGTATTGCAATATTGATTCAACATTTGTTTAGGGTTGAGATTTCAATCTCAACCATTCTGATGATTCAGATGAAAAAATCAATATTTATTCAATGTAGTCTTGCTATCTGGGTTGAACTAGAGTTGTTCCGATTCCAATACCAGTATCGGAAATGCCTCCGACACTGCCAAAAATGCTGACATCGGTTTCGGAGAGTACTGGAGTCCAGGCATCGATCCAATACCACATAATTTATTAGAAATAGGAATCTATTTACGGTTTAGCTCCGTTTGTTGGCAGTTGCGCTATGCTGCCGTTGGCAGCTGCTGTTTTAGAGCGAAGAAGAATTGATCACCTGATGCTACCTTAAAAGAAGCTAAAGTTAGCGCATCATGTCTGCGGTTTGGCAGTACTTTACAGTGGATGGCGACATGCAACATATGCAAAGGAGCAATTTTGAGGGGTGGCACGAGTGTTGCAAATTTCAACACCAGCTGTAGAAAATCCTCCTTCCTGACAAGTTCCAGGGGGGTGGGGCTTAGCCACAACCTGTCAGGCCACACCTGAACTGATAAAAGGCCTGATGAGGCCCTGCTCAGTCCTTTCCATTTGTTTGCTGCAGCATGTGGGTTAGCATGAAGCCTCGCTAATCCTTCCTAGTTGACTGTGTACTGGATGCATTACTTGAGTAAGTTCTGTATATCTGCTATTGTTGTTTCCTTGTTTAACAGCTAATAAGTGCTTTAATTTGATTATGACCCGCTAGAGTAACTTCTGTCTACTGATTGTTTTCATTTGCCTTTTAGCTGTTCAATCACCTGTCAGTCAACTGTTGAAGTGGGAAACTAAGGACAATAAACTGTTGAACGGCTCTCATCTCTGGTCCTCATACTCTAACTGGTGTGCCAATGCAGAAGCTCTATATATTATCCAGCTTCCACAACCGCAAGTTTCTACACCAGCAACTTAATCAAACATTTGAAGACGCGTCACACTAAAGAGCACGACGAATTTACCAAAGCTAAGGGGAAAAAGAATGACGAATTGCAGCAGCAAACTCTGGAAACTGCCTTCCAGCGATGAGATAAATTCCCCAAAGACAGCCAAAAAGCAACAAAGATAACCGACAATGTTGGAGTGGACGTGCCTGCAATCAGCTTTACCACAGACATTTGGAGCTCTGACGTGTGCCCCATGTCTTTGCTAAGTTTAATGTCACACTGGGTGGACAGAGTCAACATTTACCCCTCAAAGTGCGGTGCTGCACGCCAACGAGTTCCGAGGGTCACATACTGGCACATTCATTGCCGAAGCAATTGAGGGGATGCTAGTAAAGTGGAAAATTCCCAAGTCCAACGTTCATGTTTTGCACGACAACATGAAGAAAGCCATGGACGAGATGTATGTACCAAGTTTGGGATGCTTCACCCACACTCACCAGCTGGTGGTGCATGATGGGCTACTGTCACAGAAGTGAGTGATGCACTGGTGAATGGTAGGAAGATAGTCACGCATTTCAAACACTCGCCACTGGCTACTACATGCCTGGAAGATATTCAAAAAGATCCAAATGCCCACCAAACGTCTGCACCAAGACGTAGCAACGAGGTGGAACAGTACCTTCTATATGGTTGAGTTTACTGGAGCAGAAGCGGTCAATTTCAGCATACAGAGCTGACCATGACCTGCCAGTGACCCTTACGGCTAACCAGTGGGCTTTACTGGAGAAAATAATCACTGTTCTAGCACCATTTGAAGAACTGACCAGAAAGATTAGCTCCTCCACCTCTTCTGCAGCTGAAGTAATCACCTCAGTCACAGTGCTGAAACGTCTGCTTGCCTGGGAGAACGAGGGGGACACGGGTATAAAAACCATGAAAACAACCCTTCTTGAGGCTGTCCAGAAAAGATTTAAGACCATCGAATGAGCCCTTGTATGCAGTTGCCACTCTTTTAGACCCACGATTCAAAGACGGGTATGTCTAATATTTTTATTAAATGTCTATATTATAAACACAATTTTGAAATGTTGTTTGGGATAACTAGATATTGCATTATTATTGATTACTATTGCATTAATATGTTACCACTAAAATCTACTATGGAGGAGGTTGTTTGTTTTACACTAAGATTTATTATTTTTCATTGTTTTTAGATGCTTCACTGGAGCACACAGCATCAAGCATGCCAAGGATGCTCTGACCCGAGAGGTGGAGAAGATGGAGTTACTGAGCAGGACCACACCTGAGGGAGCAGAGACAGTGCCAGAAAACCCCCATAAAGCCCCACATATGGAAGCACAGCTAGCAGAAAGAGCAGCTTGAAAGGCCTGTTTGAGGAAATCCTGCAGGAGCATGATGAGGAATAAGTAGCACAAGCACACAAGTTCAAATAGACATATTTGACAGAGCAAACGGTCCCACGCTCAGACAGCCCATTCCAGTACTGGGGAGTCAACGAAATTCGGTTTCCCACCCTGGCTGCCACCGCTGCAAAGTTTCTTTGCTCCTTGTACCAGTGTTGACAGTGAGACTGTTCAGTGCAGCATCCAACATTGTTGATGCAAGAAGGAACAGGCTAGGAGGAGAGAGGACAGAAATGCTCATCATCTTGAAGAAAAATCTGCCTTTGCTCTTGAAATTATGAGCAAAATGCTACTGCAGTGTGTAGCCTACTTGTTTTAAAGTATATTTTGTTTAATGTGTAGCTGCTGCTCTTTTGATTTGTTTTTTTTTGTTTACTTTATAGGTTGTTGTTGGAGTACTGTTTTATACTGCTCTATTTAAAAATTTAAATGCCTTTATTTTACAAAATTGTGGCTGCACTTTAATTTAAAAATAATAATTATTCCTATATTTAAGTTGCTGTTGCACTACTGTTTATACTGCTTCCATTTGATGTATTCATTCATGTTTTACAAAGGGTTTAACCTGAGCCAGGCCTTACCACAATGATAATCATAGAACAGTCATGCAGGCATAGTACGATCTTTTTCTTTTTTTAACACACTGGTATGGGTATCATTACTTGGTATCAGCCGATATCCACAGCACGAGTATTGGAATCCGTATCGGGAGGGAAAAAATGGTATCGGAACATCTCGTACACAGTTGTGTATGCAAGCGCGCGGATTTTTACTGCTGTGTTTACAAATGTGTTGCAGCTGATTGGGTAACACCTCTGACATGCCCACCAAATGGGGAAGCCCATTGCACAATGTCGATTGAAAAACTGTTAACTGTTTTTTTTGTTCTGACTTTATTTTATAACCGTACACTGGGATGACCAGAAGCAGTATGTGGAGACAGTTTGCCGTTTTCCTGTTATGCTAACTGTAGCTAACGTAAGTTAACGTAACTATCACCAGTGGCTGAAACCTTTCCAGACAATCGTCCACATTTACGATCTTTCATCTGGGGCTGTTTGTTGTTACATGTGCTTTGGTCTGGTAAGTGGAAAAAGTTCTGTTTTCAGGCGCAGTCATTTTAAGAGAAAGGCTAAAGTTAACGTTACTTGAAGTTAGCTGGCTAACACAATGAGGTAATGTTAATTTTCACTTTGCACTGAACTGCTGTAACTTAACGTTAGTTAACATTACTTTAGTTCTATACGTTACTGTGGAGACAGTCAAGCTCTGCCTTCATATAAATTAACAGCGGTTTCTAAACGCAGGGTTTGTAGTAAGTAGGGCTTGACCCCGAATATTAGACGGTATGGGTACAAATTGGAGTTTCAATTTTGAGATTGGATTATTGTGGGTTTTTTCGTGCGCCTGACCTCCGCTGAGAGCAGTGAATGTAACGCTCCAGTTCACATCAAAGGGAAAACGAAATGAAGCCCTCAGCTGTCTGGGAGCACTTTAAACTGTGTGATGACAGCAGTAGCTAATCTGTAGGCTGGAAACAAACAACATAATGAACACAACTCTAAATAATTATGAGGCCAATTGTAGAAGAAGAGCATTTAGTCGCTATAATAAAAGTGAAATTATATAATGTGTTAGATTTCGTTCCGCTGCCAGAAATACCGCTCATCCAGTCTGCTCTCCGTCTGGACCCCCGCCCGGTTAAACTATTCCCGGATTCTGCTGTGGACCAGGGGCGGCTTGTTCATTAGGGCGGCCGGGCGACGCAACGCCAAGCTGGGAAAGGCAAGAGATTTTTGTCTTCTACCACACTGTAGTTAGCTGTGACTGTTTGTGACAGACAGCTTGTCTCTGAATATCGCTGTCCAATCAGCGTCAAGTCGTGTTCCGTGGAGTCCCGCCTCTTTTGGTGCGGTTTCAGTCTGGTTGTAAATTTCTCTCTCACAGACTTTCATGTAAAGGCAGTTTTTTCGAGCTGCACCTGCTGCAATGCAATCTCTATGGGTTCCGGGAGGGCTCGCAGGGCTCGGACTCGGCGGTCCTCCAGCTTGTTGCTCTCACTACAACCAGCTGCTGTACAAAACGTACGTTCAGGCTGAAAATTCGACCGTGGTGTTGTGTCGGGAGATGCAGTGACTTTACCAGCGGTGAGTAAGACACAGTATAAACAATACATGTAAGTTGTTAAGCTATGAGGAGAGGAAAAGTCCGCTAGCCACTTGGCTAATTTATGCTCCGTAAAATACCATAGGCTAAGCCAATAATCTTGATAGTTATTATTAAGCCGAATTTTATGCTTATGTTAATGTGATTGTTATTAAACCATGTTTTATGTGTGGTGGTGGAGTCAATTTAAAGTCAGCTGCACTTAACGACTAACAATTATTTTATGTGTTTTTTTTCTTTTATTGACAGAAACCGAAGAAGAAAGAGGAGGTAGCATGATGTGGCCACAACTGGCATCTTGTCAGAGGAGGGTAAAAAGAAGAAGAAAAAGTAGAATAGAATATACCTTTTATACTGTATTTCCCCTTACAGGCTTTGATGTTTATGTGTAAATACAGAGTGAGAATGGGAGAACAGCACATAGCTCGTTGTTACTGTGTGATTATACAGTTACAGGAGAACAGTGGATACTTTAATAGGGTAAGAAGAAAAAGTAGAATAGAATATACCTTTTTATACTGTATTTCCCCTTTACTGTATTTGCCTTTACATCCAAAGGTCTAAAGATCTGTTGATCTTAACTGTGGACTGTTCATTCATTGTAGACATTGACAATGAACTTCAGGATGTAGCTGTTCACAAATACTGTACAGTATGTAGCCTAAGGAACAATCCTTGTCTTCTAGCAGACTAAGACCATTGAACTGGTCACCTTAGCCATCATCGCAACAATAGCCCCCCCTGAGTGATTTGGCAGGAACCGCAACTGCTCTGGACCTGCTTGGATCAGACTCTCTCAGCAGCCACCAACCCGGTTTGGCACTCATCTATTTTCACTCTGCCTCGCTCTTCACCTGCTAAATAACCAATCTTTTTACCCTGCAATAAATATTCCTCTTTTATCTAAGTCCTCCCTTTCTTAGTCCTGCACTTGGGTCTGCTAGCCTTGCCATAACAAAGTTAAAAGCAAAGATTTGGTAATAATCACTTAGTTAGCCTAGCAATGAGAATAAATAAACGGAGCGCTCTCTAGTTTTTTTTCTGTTTCACAGGGACACAGAGACACACACCCATGCCTGCTGTTCTCTCCCCTAGCCGATCCTCCCTCACTTCTTGGGCATTTATCCTTCTTCTGCTGTTCTGTTCTATCTATGAAATACATAGCTGTAGCTCTTGAAATGACAGCCTGCTTATCAACTTACCTTTAAACAATCGCCATAACGGGGAGCTTCAATTATTCACTCTTAATTACTATCGCAGCGTCGTAGCTCAAAAAATGACATTCGGGCCAGCCCTAGTAGTAAGATGTAGGGTTCCGCAAAAAGTAAAAACATCCATAATGTGGAACAATAGAGCCTGGTTTCACTGATAGGTTAAATATGATATGAAAACCCCTCCAGTTTTTTTCAGATTTTCTAGTCAAATTAGTTGGAACTGTGTAATTATCATGTTTGTATGATAAGTATTTATGTTTATATTGAACTTACATCGTTGTAATCTGTTTTAATAGATCTGTCCTCTCAAGTGAACCTGAGCACTGAGTTACCTCGAGCTTCAAAGAGATTTCGGCAAGATGCATTCTGAAATAGTGTTGATGCATGACTGAATGTTTCATTTTATCAGAGGTGAACCTAATAAACCCCTCAGCCCTTCATTCTCATCTGAAGTGGCTGTAATATGTATTTGTAAAGGAATATTTTCCCACTGTTTATGAAAGTTGGTGAGGAATGTTCAGTTTTTATTTAAATTTAATTATTATTTATGGCAGATGCAGTTTGTGGTCTGGTGAACTGTATTGCGTTATAAACAGCTGAGTCTCTTTTATTTAGCGTGGCCTCACTGATATAAATGGGATAACAAAATATCAGAAACACCGGTCCATGTGATCCAAAATTATCATACAGTTGAAACAAAAACTGCACATTATCATTTTTATGAAGGGAGGATTTATTGCAGAAATGTTGGATTAGACTGCATTAAATTTAGCTAGATGTACCTAATAAACTGGTTACTAAGTCTAAATACATTTATCATAACAATAAACTCCATACCCATATCACATGTTTGTGAAAAGTGTTTACACGGCCTTTATTTTGTAAACTAATCAAAAGTTGGTGTTCTTACATTGTGTGCCCATTAACTATAGTGATAGAACTGGAGGCAGCAACATTTCACAGTGGATGACATTTTAACATAAATAAGATAATTTAGCCTTGACTGGAGACATAGGGGGGATATTGTACTGTTTTAGAAAAGTGCATTAGTCCAGCTGTGACTGTGAGATTTTATAATGAATATGTATATTTAGCAATTTAAAATTCTCATAGATTTCTTTCAGAAATGATTGTCAGTAATCAAAATCTGAGAAAAGTAAATATCTATTACAGCATTAAGTGTAAACATTTTTCACTGTAGACTCTGTTAAAGGCTGTTATAAACTTATGATGATGCGGTTGAATGACTTCTTTATGGTTCTGTTTAATACCTGACTGAAATTCTGTCTCAACCCTGTTCAGACCAAAAATGGCATTGTTGAGAAAAAACACACAAGGGTCTGTGTTGGTGTGGGAATGTTGCTTCAGGTAGAAGCTAAATGATGAAATATTATAGAATTAGTCTATGTTAAAATTTATTTGATTGGCTAACTCAATTCTTAGTGACATAATCTTTCATTTTGATGCAGCAAAACCAGGTTAAAGAAATTTGCAGGATGACCCTGCATTTTCTTTTCTTGTCACTGCAGTGGTCCGTGTCCATTTCTCAGGTAAAAACTATATTCTTTTTGCCATATAGCCAGCCATCCTGCTTAAAACAAATAATTGATGCATTATGTTTTCCTGTCAATGCCCAAGTTGAAAACCATTGATCTGCATACATTTATGTGTTTGCAGGTGTTTGCTGAGGTCATCGCTTTACAAATGTTGCACCTATGCAACCACTTCTACTGTGAGCTTGAGAGATGCATACCACAACTGATTGCCCTGTACACGCAGAAGGCCAAGAGAGCAGAGGTCCTGCAGAGATCCTCAGGATTTATGACCTTCAGGTGAGTTTAAGATTACCTTTGCCATAGCAACAATGTTGATCACATAATGGTCAGTCAATACTGATTGGGACCTCTGTACTATAATAGTGAAATTTGATTGTTACTGTCTTGTGATGAGTAGGAGGGCAGAGCCATCTACTTTCAATTGTCATGTCTCATTTGCATTTATTTTTAAGTTTTCCAGTACATGATCACGTTAAAAGCCATTTACAAGCTTATTTTTAAATTCTTGGGCTGCCCTGAAAACATAATACAAGACAGAAAATCCTAAATTTCTTTATGT